AGATCATGTAGGCAGGAAATTCACACTCGCTGGTGGTCGTGTAGCCGTGTGTATGTGATGTCATAAAGGAGGGTACAGTGAATATGTGCCACTCAAACTTTTAACTCCACTGAGAAAGCAGTGGATAGATAATAATAATAATATTGATAATTATTTATCAAAGTCGACTGTTGGATTCTTAACCGTGTGAATAAATGTTTATTAATGCAGTTTAATCTGGATTCATTCCGTTTTAAATATTATTGTTTCAGATAAATTGTCTGTTTAGGCTGTTTTTTTTACCGCCCTCAGTTTCTGCTTATTTTGCATCTGATAATTACAAGAGTAAGTATGAAGAACATTAGTACAACCTGCTTTCTTTTACTAGTATCGTTTTATTCCAATATTAGGGAAGTAAATCATTCTTTTAATGGTTATCACAAGTTGGAATACAGAACACACTTTCGGGAATGGCTTCCATTTGACTAAATAACAAACCAGAATATTCAAAAGAAATCTGAATAAAGGAGATTCAACTGATTCTTTTTTGTAGAGGTGATTATACGATATTTCATTTTCCAAGTTCAACTTCAAAATCAGAAAATCAATCACTGTGTAACCCCACAGACGCATCTCACCAGAAAAACAGCCGAAAAACACAGACCTCTGACTGGTTGTTTCTCACAGAAAGTTAACCTTGCATCCCTTTGTGGTTGTTTCTCGAATGTCAGATCATCTATATGCTAACTTTATCCGCCCACGCAAAGCCTTTGTTCTCATTTTTCTCACGACCAATATTGGGGACATTGATGTAAATTACTGTCCATCAATTTTGGCTAACAGCCAGCTCTCACCACAAGCTTACTTATCCGAAAATTTTCTCCATGGACTGGAATTTCAGGTCTGATTTCTGACCAAAACGTCGCTAAGCCTTTCCTAGACGATGGTGATTCCGGATTATAATGGATGTGGGTCTAGCAACTTCACCCCGTGAAAACACCACACTCACTACTAAAACTTCATGGCTCAAAGATTGAAGCCCAACATTCCAGTCAGAAGGGAAATAAAAAAGAAGAAAACTTGTATTCTTGTTTTAAAGTAAATATAATCTTAAATGACCACTGATGACAGAAATCTATCAAAAACTTGTGAATCGAAGGATGTCATGTGCTATCTGTAAGCGTAGTGAAAATACATCTAGAAAACTACCATGGTGAATACTGCAAACAAAAGAAAAACCGATGCAATGAAGGATAGGTAAAACAGTGACTACGTTTATCTTTTATGTTACTGCGAAGCGATAAAACGCATAACTTTTCTCTCAAAAGAAATGTTGACACGACTGGGCAGTTTTGAATAAGAAGAGGATATCATTTCTTCCTTTACGTTCTCAGTGGAACATAGGGTTCAAAGCTATTGGCTTGAAGTTTCTGTAGCAGTATTAATTTTTACAGGATATGGTTGCTAGCCTCTCGCCCAAACTTTCCGCTTTACCAGTCTCCCTGCTGGCTTAGTGAGGTAAAGGAGTGCGTGGACCGTGGATCGAACCACGAACCTGGTGCATGGTTGGCGAGCGTCCTAACCGCTGTGCCACCCGCGCACGTCACTGTGCTTAGATTTTTGAAATATTCTGCATTCAGAATAAGGAAAAAGATTCTAATTTCTAACACCGATGTTAAGCTAGTTAACGTAGATGAGTCGGGAACTAAGCGCATGTGTCAAGAATAGCATTTCCAACAGCCATCTGCGGACTTTATCAACACCTCCCTCCAACGACTTCATAATGAACACTAGATGACTAGCAAGGATTAGCAATACGGAACACTGAGAACCAGCTAACCAAAAATCTACTGCTCTACAAATATAATGAGGTAAATTGGGACGGATATGACACACACTAGGGATATAGTTGGGTGACATTCGGGGTCAGGCGCAACCCTCCACCCAAGTGGAAGCCGACTGAGAAACGAGGAGTTGGGTGCGTGTCTAAGGTTCACCTGGAGGAGACCATGTGAACTGAAGATGACAGTCCATAAGCAATCGTGACATCAAATGAAGAGGACTTCAAGGAACAGGACAAAGGTGAAGATGTTCTGTCGGAGCTCGATGTTCCACTCAAAACTTAAGGGAATAATAATAATTGTACTTAAATTATGCATGTAAGACGTCGCATTACCATAAGAAACTAATTTAAAAAATTATCATTTATAACGACAATTTTCTGCATCAGTTGACTATATTTTTCCATTTCTATAATAAATAATGACTGAAAATTAAAAAAGAATTTGAAGTCATTATCAGACTACATTACATTCAATGCAGTCGAATGGCGACGCCTGATATGTTAAATGAATATATATGGATTCAAACAGCGAGAACTCTATAGTCGTGTATTTATAACTTCCCGTTTCATGACTCCAAATTCATACAAAAGCATCCTATATGAGCTTTAAACAGCACTGATTTCGAAAGTCGACAGATATAGAGTGGTTCGATTACTCAAAAAGAAGTACAAAAATTCTGAGAAAATTTTGTACATAATCTCTAAAATGAAATTATTTGTATCACTATTACTTTGACTTATATCTCATTTGAAAGCAGAGTTTCTCAAATGGTCAATGTCTATAAACTGGAGATAAATTACAGCATATTTCATATATATAAAATTTAGAATGATTTCTGTAGATGTTTATTGATTTATTTTGAAGTCGAACAGAACCTAACTTTCATATTTTTATATGAGCTATTCAGTCTTCAACATATTTCTTGTATAGAAATATGCATTTATCATTGTTAAAATTAAGCGTATAACTTGTAAAGGTCACCGAATTATTGATACTGTGTAATTATGGTTTTGTTTAGATGGATATAATATTTGATATCTTGGCAATACGTGTAATTTGAAGCCAGTTATCTTCCTCAATGGTCTAAAACTGTGTGAAAGAATGATAAATTTACGCCTTATAGAGTGGATTTATAACATACCCTAATAAGAACGCTTATTGTGGCGTCTCTACATTCACCTGATGAATAAACTATGTATTATTTAAATATTTGACATCAAATTTTGAACTCTTAGGATCTCTTGAAGTACCTATTTCGATGGCTTCAGAGTTGCTGGTATTAAATGGTTCGAGACAATCAGCAAGAAGCCCTCTGCCTAGTTCTCGTGCTTGTTGGCAGTCATCAGCAGGGCGTTTCTGCAACCTTGAAGGAACTCACATTTCATCTGAGGTTCAAACTTAAGTCACCCAATGCTACAATTAGAGACACTATCACTGAGCATAAGCGTCAAACCTGGGTCCAAGGCTTCCAGCCGATTGTCTCCAACCATCTAATATAAACAATTCACAGTGCACCAAGGTAGATTTCACTCTCTACCAGACAAAGGACTATACACTCTACACTGTTTACGAACCAGTGTTCAGTTAAAGGCTTTAGAGTTATTGTTAGTCTATGCCAGTGAATCCTGTTTCACAGTCATATCTAGGCTTCAGATTTCAAAGTTAAACATATAAAATTGCATTTCCAAGATTTTGTACGGCTAAATGCGGTCTATCCAATCATGAATTCATAGTTCTTGCTTGTATTTAAGCGGCGCTTACTCAAACTAAAGGTATTTAAGCTACGTCATTTTATCTCTCACCCTATTCGAGGCTACCTAAGATGCTTAATGTATTTACTGAACTTAGAGCACTATTTTAATCTGTGCTTTTAAACAACTCTAACTAGAGATGTTCCATAGGTTAGAAGAAACAGTAGTGTAACAAGAAACAGTTTTCGAATTTCTCAGATAACAGCATTACACGTGAACTGACTAAGTAGGTGCTATAGTTGGAAAAACCTACTTAAGCTCTTACTGGTGTGTAATCGATCTGTTAAGAGTGTATTAATAAACATGCTTTAATCTGCAATTTAAACACTCTATATTAGGTAGACATTACTATTTTTCATCGCATAAGAAAGCTAATGACATTGTTCATATCGTTTCATAGTTATACAGTGATTTTATATCTAGTATGACTAAAATAACATTCCACCTTATTACCATTCTAGACTATTCTTGGAAAAAATATGATGTAATCATCCATAAGTTTTATTTTTGGGTGTTAGTGTGCTTTGTCGGCTTACTTAAACCACTGGGTTATCAGGGTTTTCATCCTTTTAAATGTATTGTGTACTCAATGTTGTTTTAATTATCGACTTACGGTCTTGTAGAAGAGTTTGTAATCACAGCCATTTTTAAGTTGGTTTAGAATTACCACTACGCATTTTTCAAAAAAAGATGGAAGGAAAACATTGCCGGTCAATTCAGTGTCTTTTCTTTAGAACAGTGTTGTTTCAAATGATATATTGCCCACTAACATTTTACTTGAACATCCTGTACGTGAAGTAAAAAATACTTTTCAGGATAACTATGTATGAAGGCATTTTACAGAAAAACCCTCATTGTGACATTGAGAAGCGCACATTTGAGTGGAGATTTTGTTTCGTAGCCTGAACTAGTTATTCGCTAACGATGGATGGTCGTACATGCATATATATATATATATATATATATATGCTATATATTATACGACCGGCTACGTAAACATGTAAAGATACTTCACCGCGTGTTTTAAAAACAGCCGCTTTTTTATGAATCAACGTTCATACTTGACAAATTTGCGCTCATACAGTCTCTCATCGTGAACTCCTTGGAGCCCTTAAACAGGTGGAAAATAATTATAAAAAACAAAAAGAACCATTGTGATTTGAGTAAAAGGGGACTTTTGCAGTAAAAAAAATTATTCAGGGTTTTGAAGTACCAAATGGTTAATAGAGGCATAATTTCACGAACCCTCTGCCTAACTTTCGCCTGATAACTTAATTTGAGATTTTCAGAGAGCTATTGTTGGACAACAGGCAGTTTTCATTCAGCATCCAGAAAATATTTGGTAGTAATTTTATTATTTTCGTGATGATATTCATCAGTCTAAGACAATTTAATAATTCATTTGAAATGATTTATCTAAAATATTATATATATATATATATATATTCACCCAAGCACACAAGATAAAATCTACTGTCTATTGGCAAGTCACTTTTCAATTCAGATTCAAGAAGTTAACTGCAGTATAAAAAGTAAGTTATAGCATCTTACATCAGATTAATGTTGAATGATATTTTACAATAATACATTTCATTTATTTGTATTTCAGTGGAGTATAAAAAAAGTCGCTTGGCACTATTCTCTTGGTTAACTGTTTCCATAAATAATAAAGGATGCACGAAACAAAAAGGATGTTTTGCTCGGATTATCAGGATGCTGCAAACTGTTTGTTTATTCGTGTTAAATACAAAATGAAAAGATAACAATCAAGAAATGAAATGTACAAAAGGAGGAGGAAGAAGAGCACCTAATATGGCAGTGATTTAAGTGGCAAATGTGGTTCTGGAGTAAAAAAAAAAGAAGGAGAATTTAAACTAAATCAGTTACTTTTCCTCATTCACAGTGTCATCTGAGTTGAAATTATGTGATCTAAAGAATCTGAAATCTTTTACATTCCCTGACCAGGAGAAACTTTCGACTTTTGTGTCCATAGGAGGTGGGTCATGAAGAGAGCATGTTTTATTGGCAAGGGATGAGTTTATCAATGATGACTTATAAAAAGAACTTATTTACATTGAAGTGAGGGATGCTGATTCCCGTCAGTATGTGTTCTAGAATAAGTTTTTACGATTAATATATTTATGTATATCATCTGTCCTCCTTGATACCTAAGTTTATGTTTCGTGCATTTAACTGAGGTCTTGGTCTTGGTCGTGTAGGTGTTGTATTTGCACATCTTCGATTAGCAGACTGTTTAAGCCACCTTGAGGTCAAATCCCCACGTGTTATTGATGATGATATAACACTCTGACGTTTATTCGATGAACTTGGTAAACCATACTGAGCAGAATAATGAACTGCACGTAATCTTGCATTAATATTACGACAGTGACAAAGAAGTATCATTTTGAAAGGACCACGAAACTCTCTGTCAAATTTAGCGTAGATCAGGGGATTTAAGAAACTGTTGACGTAACCTGTATGGAAAGAAGAAAAACAAAAATAATTAGACAGTAGTTATTCAAGAAATAAAAATAGAATACATTTTATGATAAAGAAGAGATTTATAAATTATGACTAGCTTTAAATTACTTCGAATACTAAGGAGGCCATATAAGATGAGTATAAACAAATTAATTAAATTATCGTCACTGCAATGAAACAAATTGAATTTATGAAGACAATGTACATAAAATTCAGCTTCCTCAGAGGTGTAAAATGCTAATGGCATAATCGGGTATTTGTTGCTGTCTATAATATAGTTAAAATGGCGAAATTTTGTAGCCCTATACTACAGAATATATCTCAACCAAATTTGTTGTACTACTCGCTATTTTAGTGAACTAGTCTGTGTCTCACTAGATCACTATATATATATATCATTGACGCTAGTTCACTGAGACATGAAAACAAGGAATTCAGCGAAGAAAATTCTCTTTTTTCGACTGTTTCATAGCGGCACAATCGTATATACATGAATTACAATAAAAAAATAACAATCAGTTACTTTGTGTATGTGTTAAGGTTTGACAGTGAGTGCGATAATATTGATGTATAGGATAATGAGCCACAATTGATTAGGTATAGGAATGAATAACAAAATAAATAGAGGTCAACCTAATTATTATTATTATTGTTACTTGGGTTCCTAGTGGAACATAGGGCTTCAACTGCACGTCTCCACTTGCTTCTGTCTTCCTTCTGCTGTACCTTTCACCTCCATCCATGTTATTCCATACTGTTTCAACTCCTCTCTCTTCACACGATCTCCTCCATGTTACCATTGCACTGACGTCTCACTCGCCGCTTCCCTTTCGGATTTCAACGAGAACAATGGCCTGACGCGCGTGATGTCACCCAGCGGTCTTTCCAGCGAGCGAGTGTCCAATCCATCTCCACTTTCTCCTGCATATTTGTTGGTTGGCGATTGGTTCATGTTTTGTTTGTAAGTGCCCAGAGTTTCTTGTTGGTGATTCTCTCCGGCCCGGCCATCCGATCTTCAGTAGTGAGCGAAGACAGTTGTTGCTGATGAAGGTCTGCAACAGGCTGATCCTTTCCGTATAGAACAATTGACTGACTTTACGTTTGTATTGAAAATTCGACCGAATTTCGTTGTTGATGCTGGCTGAGTGACAAAGATTTCCAGATTGGTTTTAGGTTGATGAATGTGTTTCCCGCCTTCCCGATTTTCGCTCGATTTGACATTCTCGTCCGTTCCGACTGCCTGTAGTTGAGACAATGCTCCCTAGATAATTGAGTGAATGAAGTAATTAACCTCTTTCAAATCCCTCCCATTGATGGTGATTGGGGCTGGATGTCGCTGCTCTTGTTGCTTCTGATATCGGTTGGTTATTTCCATGACCTCTGTCGTGTCTATGTTCACCTGGAGTCCTGTCTTCGCCGGCTGCTTCTTCGACCAGTTCGTCGGTTTTCGCTTGTAAGTCTTCGATTTTGTGTGACATCAAACATAAATCATCCAAGGGTGAAATCCAGGTCTTGTATGTTCTTCACATCGGTCCAGGATATCCTTGTCCCGCTTCTCGTTTCCCACTGTCTGACGCATAATCAAGTCAGTCCACCAAAATTAGGAATATCATTGGTGATAATAGGCACCCTTGTCTTATTCCAAACGCCTCACTGAGTTTTCACTTGTGGATCACTTGACATATGCCATTGTCGTACAGCTGTTGAATAAGGTTGATGAATATTTGGGGTACGCTGTAGTACTCAGGTAGTTTCCAAATTACTACGCGGTCAACGCTGTCGAAGGCCTTCTCAAAGTCAACCTAAAGTTCAATAGATATGTATAAAATAGACGATCGGAATATGAAGTTTATTCAGAAATGTGAATATAATATGATGGAGACACAAAGAGAGTGGAATATTGTCAATGCAGTAGATCAGATAAAGTGTTAGAATATGATAAAATAAAGTGAAATAAAATAAAACGAAAATGGAACTTCGAATAAAGAAAGGTAACAAAGTTTTTATGTAAATTGCACAGTAAAATCAAGATCATTGTAACGAAAGCAGTGGTACAAACTTTTATTATACACAAAGTCCTGGCTTTGTGTTATGTATTGCAAAAATCTCTGATGTAACAAACAAATGGACTCGTGTCCCTTTCGGAAAGCTTTGTCAGATTATATTAAGCTAGGTGTCAGATGCTGCGTGGTCAGTAACTGAAATATGCTGCAATGTTGATAAATTAATACCTCTACGCTTTCCCTTCCTCAGCCAAACGATTAATCAGTTTGTGATTTCCACATAGACCAGCGTTCTTTGTTTTCACTGAATGCAAGAAATGCTCGATCTCTTATTGGATCTTTGGCATTATCCAGTTAACCAGAATTGGCAATACCTTAAGTGGAAGTCGACAGCCTGTTTTACTCCTGTATTCACTTCGAAGACTTTGCTTAGCTTTCTGATGTGGATCACTTGGCACGTGGCACTGTCATACAGTGGTACAATATATTGTACATTAATACTCACAGGATGATTGATTTTCAAGCAGTTATAAAGCTCGAGGATTGTGTACAGATCCTGTCCTCAACTTCTACACTCCGCTATTTCACATCCTCAATCCACCAACTCAATATCTGAATAGTTAGCTTTCCCTCTTTTGCGTGTTTTCATACGTGTAAATTCTGCCATTTTATTATTATATACAAAGTCAGTTATATGGTATATTAAAATAACGGAGCCTAACAGAATAATTATCAATCTCATAAATTCTGGTTTTCTGTTTTAGCGATTAAATGGGGGAAAGAACTTTCTTTTCAGTTTGAAAAGAATTTCAATCAGTTTTGTTAGAAACAGAGTTATACTTTCATAAATATTCATCTGAAAAACATCTATGACGTACTGTCGAATGTATCTATGACAGAAAGGAAGCATTTACTATTAGTTGAGATGTTAAGATGTTCTTACTTTAGGTTGAAAATAATTACGGAATAATGAGAAACCAAGTAGCATTGGATGATTAAGTTGAGGACATATCTAGGTAGACTCACAGTTGCAACACCTACACTTGCATGTAAGGTAGGTCTTCAGATATATTGTTCCTACGTAGAGTATGTTATCATTCGGCTGTTGATACTTGTTCAGTATTTTTTTAAAGAGATATTCGAATAGTCTACGAGGAACAGCTGATTTTAACGCTGGGAAGGATCTAGGATCTATTTCTACTTCAAAATATAGTAAATGTAAATACATTGAATGGAAAAGTGTATAACAAAAATCTTTAAGCAAACTGAGGAAAATTGTAAAACCTTACCTAACCACTGCAAAAATCGAAATACACTGACTGGTATCATATTTGCAGTGTCATAACCAGCTGCACTAAGGAGTGCTAAAAGCAGCTGAAAAGCGAAAAAAAGGAAGTAAAATCAATTTTAGAATGATGGATGTTCAACTCACAATTACCAAGCAAAAATACTGTATGGTGAGAAAGTGAAAGTAGAAACAACACATGGGGCGTTACCTTCGGAATGCTTAGATGAAAATCTTGTGTTCGTAATACACTCCGTATACTGAGATGGTACGTATTATTATAACTAACGAGTTCTTTGATTGACACATTCGGGTAATTGCATTTTCAAAATCAACAATTGAATTTACACAAATAAAGGTTTAACATAGATCACAATTCGACATAAACTCACCATCTTCAGGTAAGCTACCAGACTTCAAATTGATTACATAATAGAAGCTATAGTAATTCGAACAAAAAAGCCCAAATTAGGCATTCAGTTTCTAACACTACGCTGGTCACTTGATTTTAGACTTCAATAACTCATTTAAATGTTTTCGAGTCTACATTATGTAAATTTATTTTATGAAATCCGGTTATATGTGTTCCTAGATGCTTGTAATTTGCTTAAAGCCAGTTTGTTTCTCTTATTTTTTGTATTAATTCAGCTTCAGCTACACGTTTATCACCCCATCGTCTTCTCATGGTTATCCTATTTGACCATTACTTCGTATGCATGTGATTCATATTCTGACTGAATACAGTTCATTTATGCGTTTATTCACAATTGTGCGTCGGTGGCACTGTGGTTAGGACTCTCGCTGATCACGCACATGGTCCGGGGTTCTAGACCACCCCGACGCACACCTGATATCTATGGTCGGCCTGCGAATTTTGGGCTACCGATATCCACGCTGAAAATTCCATACTTGTACCAAAAATACAGTGTGGAATCAAGCTGTAATCAAAAAAAATTATACTTTCTCACTGTCCTCATTATTGCTTATAGTAGACTAGTTCATTTTGAATAAGAACTTTGAAAGGATTCATTTTGACAGTATAATTCTGCACACAAATATCTTTTAATTCATACAGTTAATTTGAACCACATTCCAAGAAGACGCTGTTAACCGCCTAAACAAACTGTTGAATTTAACATTTCATTGCTATATAAAACCTCTATGCAACTGATATACAAAAACTTAACAAGTGCCCAATACAGATTTGTAACTGTACAGCTCAAAGAGGTGGTTATCGCAAAAACACTTTCTTAGCTCCTAATTTAATATAAATCAAGACTAGAGTTTTCAAGAAACAATGCGCCAGTTTGGGCAAATTTTTCCACAAAAAAAGTAGCAATATCACTTAAGTCTTTCTGTAGTTTAAAAACTGCATAAAATCCCTATCTTAGATTGTACAGTTTTATCAGGGAAAAATAAAAACAAATTTTTCTGCAAATATTTACGAAAATGATACACTGACAAAATCAGGAAAGTAATTTACACTCGAAGTTATTTTCTTATGCTTTAATTTCTTTTGTTTAGTAATGCTAAATTATCGGCAAATTAAAACAAAAAAAACGAAACAGCTTCAAGACTATTTTAAGAATTCGTTCCTCTGGAACTAATGCGTCTCTGACATTGAAACATATGCAGAAAGTATTTCAATAGGATATGACCATCATCAGCTTATTTATGAAGGCGCAACTTAAATGATGAAGAAGATGATTTGTATAAGTGATTATTTTTATTCGACACTTTTCTGCATCAGTTTTCCAGCTTAATAGTATTCACCAAAAATTTAGGCCTAATCTTTTGTGTTATTAAAGTCCATCAAAACGAACATTAATTCATTAAAGTGAGACGAATTCTTATTGCTACCAGAATCCAATCTTAGATCTTCTACAAATTAATGACATCTTTTCGCGCTCGTGAAAATCTCCCAGCATGGCTGAGTAAAGGTGTAGGGAAAACGATTAACAGTTCGATATTGGATCATCTGGTGCAAACCAGCCACAAAGCCAGCCAGCATTAAAGAATCCTTCTCTATAATCTACTGGGTGCCTAAAAATTGACTTCGAAGCACCACATGCTACAAACAGCAGAGGATAACGCAATTCACGTCAAACAACCAGTGCTTTGTGCTCAAAAGAAGCAAGTCTAGCCCCTACTACTGCCGTGGTCGGCATTCAGTAGAGACTATATGTTCATGGATTTGTAATATTGTCTTTCCAAATTTTCTGACATTCAGCTTGTTCTATGTTGATACTATTGAGCTGTAATCTATCAATATTATTGGTCCGATGTTATTTAAACAGCATTAATGTTGTTTGTAACACTAATTCATTCATTCACTATAATGTATATATAACTGTAGAGCCCAGTGATAAAGTTATCAAAAAGAATACTCTTTGTTCAGTATCCATTCTTTTGAAAAATTTTAATGGGTAATGTCTAGCAGTAATTGTCTCAGATTTCAGTGGTTATTAGTTTGATTATGTCTAGTACGTAGGACACAGTGCTATCTGAGAGGAACGGATTACTTTTTTTACTGTTTATTGCGTTCATTATGTAACGTACCAATAATTTGGTGCTGCTAGTACTTTTCTGTTCTTCTACTTATTTTAAGTTTCATTGATTATAAATAAATTTCATAACTTAACCACACCAATCATATAAGACTAAAAGAATGATCATCAAATGGTTTCAATTTGAAAACTACTGAAAAGGAGAGGATACTGGATCGTTACCCAATGAACTACAGAATCAAACGGCCCGTGAATTTTAAACTTTCCTTATTTGTGATATGTAGCAAAACTGGCGGTCGATGTCATCATGAACTATTTGTCGTCGCACCTTGTATGGTCGAACCGACTGGTCACAACTTCCCGCTGAAAAATCAGACAACGTCATCATATCATCCATTTTTAATGGTTTTTCAACTTTCTATAGTTTGGTTTGTAAGGTTTTTTTACAACTCTATCACGGATTGATATCAGTTAGAGAACCGTACAAAAGGAAGAAAAGTGTTGTCGAATGCAGTCGCCAGACATTTAATTGACACAGGAGACACAGTAGAAATCAGCCAAGCCTTCAACATAATCAATACGCAAAGAAACCCATGGCTACTTCGTTTCATAGAAGCCATCGATATCAAGAGACTTCGACCAGACCTCTGTACACAGAAAGATAGTGTGACTAATCTTTCACCACCCTGGTAACCCTAATCCTATTTTATTTATTTTTGTTTTGCCTTATCTGATAGAATCCGGACACCAAGCTGCACCCCAAACAAACTTTGAAGTAGTCTACAGAGTAAGAAGTAGTCTTCCTAAAGGTGTACGAATCAGACTTCTTCAAACTGCAGAAGCAATGGCGATTCACATGTTAAGCCCTGAACTCTGCATACAGAAGTTCGTTCAATCACTACACTTACAATGGACTTAATCTATCTTATTGCCTGTAAAGAAAATTCTACCTAATCTTTTTTTCTGTTTCTTTATTAGTATTATTTTGTCTTCTTAGTTGTAATATTTTGCATTTTCAACTCTCTTGTTCTCTACCCCCACCCGATTTAATTTCTACACCTCACTACCATTGTTTTTGATCTGACCAACGCTCAATTTCTAGTCATTTATGTTGCGTCATCCAACTTAATTCTGATTTAAATGGCATTATTCTCTACCCAACTTCCACTTAGTCTCTACCTGTAATTACCTCTGTTGCTACCCTGACCTGAGTTGAAATATTTTAGTCAATTATATTATGTCATCTAGCTTACTAACTCAATCTTACTTTAGTTTCTGTCCAAATAACCTTTTTTCTATATTAGATCATTCTTTTATTATCTGATCAATTATCTAAACTTGACAAACCTCATGTACACACCCACAATGATTACATATAAATGCGATTGTACAGCCATGTGAATGAATTCGCCGAAAAGAGTCTCTTCGATGAACGTCTTCTCTTTTGCCTTTTTGTCAGTATACCTGTGTGTTTGTTTTGTTACGAAACATTCTATTCAATCTTGACCTTCATGTTTTTAAATCTAATTGTCTGTTTAGGTTTAAAAAATCTTACTTCACTATTCAACCCCACCCTCTTAAACTCTCCACTACAAAATGTGTAAATTCACTCTGTTCTCTAACCCTAACCGTATAATATGCCTCTAACCAATCTGTGTTTTCCAATAGAAATCTGAACTCTAAACCCTCATATCTAATTCCACTATATATAAGCAGTTTTTTTTGACACTGGATAATCTGTTTACCTACATAAAATTCCGGAATTATGTTCCTTACAACTTCTATTTATAACTCCAAGTAATTATGAAAAAGTATGTTCCAAAACTTTTTTGAAACTTATAATTTGATTTTGTTTAGGATGTATGCGGTTGATGAGTATCTACGAAATAAAACGAGCTCGTATTATCCTGCAAACGTGTTCATTCTTTCTCTCTTCAAAGTTAGAGAACCACTGAAAACCAGAACCGGAGTACTGTACAGCTGTTTCATCCTAGTTTGGGAATCATCGGCAGTACGCGACCACTGGAATTCGAACACAGGACCTTCCGGTTACAAGGCAAGTAAATATACCATTCAGCTACTGAGACTCGATTCAATGGCTCATGAATTCCAACTTCCACCAATTCGTGAATTAGCGCGACCCCAACCGTTGGTAGAAGTTAGAATTTGCGAGCCATTGAATCGGGTCCCAGTAGCTGAATGGTATATGTGCTTGCCTTGCAACCCGAAGATCCGGGGTTCGAATCCCAGTAGATGCGTACTGCCGATGATTCTCAAACTAGGGTGAAACAGCTTTTCAGTACTCCCTGGTTTTCAGTGATTTTTAACTGGTAATTTCACGAATAATCATCAAATCAATCAAATCCCTGCCAACAAACACTTGAGAATAAGATCTACTCTGAGTTTACATCTATGAACAGACAAATGCACACTGATTGAAAAAGTTTGTACCAGCTTCAGACGTTACGGTAGCACGATTAACTTGAAAAAGAAAACGAGAACTTAAGGGACTAATGCTGACATAACTCATCTCACTAAATAAATCATATTCTCGACTACGACCACATACTATGCAAGTCATT